ACAGACGCATCGGAAATGATGACTTTCATGTCCTTCCACGAGGGGTCGGTTGTGAACTTGTAGGCACACCAGTATTGAAGACTCTCGGCAAGGAGATGCATGAAGGGTGTACCGGGGGTGATTGCATTGGAGTCCCAGGTCTTTTCGATGACCTCTTCGAGACTGGAGATGTCCTCGCCACGACTAGCTTTTTGCGAGTTGAGCATTTTCTGGAACTCAGCGCGCTCGTCGTCCTTTTCCTTTGCCTCTTTGGCGGCACGGAAACGACGCGAACGCTGCTGGTTCATCTTGGCACGAGGCGCAACACCATCGACTGCCATGTAGAGAAGCTTACGGGGACGGACCATGCCGACACAGCGATCAGTGTATTCAAAGATGGCCATCATCATGTCGGCCTCGGTCTTGGGCGCAGGCTTATCTTCGGGATGCGAGCAAGGATGCACGATGCCGTTCATGTCGAGGTAGAGGTTGTCGAACTCTTCGCCGTTGGGGTTGGGGCCGGTGCGGTCTACGGGAATGACATTGTCGCCGACCTTCTTGGGCAACTCCTCCTGCACAGTTGAGACGATCTTGGGGTATTTCTGGCTAAGCCAGCGGAACATGGCTGGGACACCCATGATGGCGGTAGGCGCTCGGTGGCGCGCGACGTGTGAGGGTGAAGGGTGGCTATAGTGAGACTGTAGCTGGAGGGTAGTAGTGCGAGTGCGATTGCGATGAGTGCGAGAGCGCGTGTACTAGTAGTCTGGAGTGTTTGGTAGTGCTGCGACGATGCGCAGTGGAAAGAAAAAGACTGCCTGATGGCGATGAAAGGCCTTTCCTCCTCTTGAAGTGCCGGATGCGATATCCAGTGCCGCAATATGATTCCTAGTGCCGCAATCTCCGTGGGTGCGCGATCACCGAATTTGCGCACGATGGTTGATGGGAGGTGGTGATGGGGAGAGAGAGGGAGAGGGAGCGGCGATGGAAGACGCGCTCTTTCCTTAGCATCGCGGCCGGGACCCTGAAGGTCGCGGTTTTGCCGACTCGCCGACCTGCAGGGATGTGGAGGAGCCGCGAGCCCGTGCGCCAAATTATACGTGGAGCTCCACACCACGAGGCCTGCAATACAACGGCACGACTACGTTGCCTATGGGAGAGTCACATGCATGACTAAACACTGTCTACCTATCTACCATGAAGCCATAATCCTGCCAATCCTCCAAGATGATGCGCGTTCTCGAGGCCAATGCGCCTCCGAAGCAGACGGCAACCGACACCATCAGCACTCTTAGTGGGAGGCTGACGAGCGCAAGCCTCCTTGAAGACCGTCGCGCTGCCATTCTCGGCCTCCGGAGCTTCGCCAAACAATATCCCGCCTCGGTCGCTTCGGGCGCGCTCAAAGGGCTCATCGCCTCGCTGACTAAAGATGGCGACGACGTCGACACGCTCAAGGTGGTGCTCGAGACCCTGCTCATGCTCTTTCACCCAGACGAGACCAGTCACGAGGCCTCGGAAGAGTTGGAGTTGCTGCTGGCCGACCAATTCTCACAAGTAGGTCCTGTCCTGCTACACATCTACTAGTGCTGAGCTTATGATAGCGGCAAGACAACATCACTCTCTTGCTTGATCTCCTAGACAAGCCCGACTTCTACTCCCGCCTCTACTCGCTGCAACTGATACGCGCAATCTCCCTCGCCCGCCCCCAACGAACCCAGGAATGCGTCCTCACAGCCCCCGGCGGCATCGAGCGCCTGGTAGCCACCTTGGACGACCCCCGCGATGCCATCCGTAACGAAGCCCTCGTCGTCCTCACCGACCTGTCCCGAACCTCTGCCGAACTCCAGAAGCTCTTTGTCTTCGAAGATGCCTTTACCAAGGTCTTCAACATGATACATGCCGATGGCGGCCTTACTCAGGGCGGGATCGTGGTTCAAGATTGCTTGAGTCTGCTGGCTATCCTCATACGCTTCAACGTATCCAATCAGACGAACATAAGAGAGATGGGCCATGTCGCGAGGTTTTCCGCGCTGCTACCCGGCGGCAACAAGCCGAAGAAGGCACGCGCAAGTGCTGAAGAAGAGGATGGATGGGTCAGTCCGCAGAGCGACAAGAACATCTGGGGACTGCTCGCCATAATGCGCATGTTCCTCGTCAAGGGCAGTCCGGGCACACTGCAGAACCAGAACGTCTTCCAGCAGCATGGCCTCGTCCGTCAACTACTCAACATTGCTTTCGACCCTGCAACCGCCATGCCTATCAAGATCGAGGCTCTCAACACGTGCGCGGATCTGATTAGAGGCAACGCTCGGCTCCAAGAAGGATTCGCTCAAGAGCAGGTCAGGCCCATTGTTGAGCCCCCTACGAATGGCGTCACTTCTCCTAACGGCGTACCTTCCGTATACGTTATTGAAGCGCTTCTGAACCTGGTCCTTTTTCCAGCGCCGAACGACCTGTTCGACCTGCGCAATGCAGGATGCGAGTGCATCAAGGCCTACTTCTTCAACCACAGACACATACAAGAACACTTCCTTAACCGAGCTATCGGTGGTCACGAAGGCGGCGACGAAACAGCCAATGCTCTTACAATCTTAATGGCCGGACCCCAGGTTCCCCCAACTGGCGACCCATACAGAATCTGGTTTGCCTCAAATTTAATCTACCACCTCATCTTTGATGACTATCAAGCGAAAGACACTCTTATGGGGGTCAAGGAAGGAGATGCAGAGAGCGGTGAAGAGGTCGTCACGTGTATACAAACGCTTACGGCGAATCTCATCGCAAGCCTTCAACTCGGGGAAGATGAGCGCATATCGGTAGCCTATTTAATGCTATTGCTAGGCTGGCTATTTGAGGATGCCGCTGCAGTAGATGATTTCTTGGGAGAAGCCAGCAGTCTGCAAAGTCTGGTACAAGCCGTCCTAACCCCTGGAGAAGACCGAGTCATGATTCGCGGTCTTTGTGCTGCACTGCTGGGAGTCGTATACGAATTTTCAACAAGGGACTCACCTGTGCCACGACGCGAACTACAACCAGTTCTCATGACGAAGCTCGGTCGTGACAAATACCTGGACGCCATCACCGGATTACGACGTCATCCGCTCGTACGAGACTTTGAGGTCTTGCCCCGGACTGCCGGCGGAGGTGGTGGTTTGCCGGACATCTTTTTCGACGAAGCCTTTGTAGACTTCCTAAAGGACAACTTCAGCCGACTATCGCGGGCCATCGATCGCAATCCGAATATCGAACAGCACCAGTCACATGATGGTGTTGACAGGGATGTAGTCGATGCGCTTCGTGGTGAGAGTAACGAGAAGGAGCAAACTATCCAAGAGCTCAAAGCACAACTCATGACCTTGGAGCAAAAGATAGACCAGGAGCAGGCCGAGCATCGCAAGACCCAGCAATCGGCCGAGGAGCAACGCAGTACCCTGAAGCGCATCAACGACAAATTGCACGATGATCTCGACAAGGAGGTTGCGAAGAAGGATCGTGAGCATCGTCAAGCCTTGCTGGAGATGGAGAACAAGTACAATCTTCAAATCGTTGCGCTTAACAACAAGGTGCAACAAGCGAGCAAGGACGCCAATCTAGCTATCGCAAAGGTCAGACAAGAGTACGACGAGCAGCTCCACGACGCACACAGGACACGCACCGAATTAGAGCGTCGATTAGGCGCCTCAGAGAAGGCCCGCCAAGAAGCCATCGAAAACATCCGCAACCTCGAACATACACTCATACAAACCCGCACCGAAGTCGCCACTATCACCGAATCCCTGCGCAACGCACAAACGCATGTACAGAACAGCGAAGCCCAGCTTCAGATCCTTACAGAGGAGAAAGAGACGCAGCTCAGAGAACTCGAAGAAGAGAAAGAGACTCAACTCAAACAACTCAGAGAAGAGACAGAGCAGTCCAAATCCACACTCGAAGCCCAACTCAAGCAATCCACATCCGAAAAGTCTGCCCTCCAATCCACCATCGACAAGCTCAAAGCCGAGAACCAGGATCTTAAAACCAAGGCGCAGGACCAGACTTGGAAGGTCAAAGAAGCGGAGGAGAAATTACGGAAAGCTGAAGCCGCCGCAAGGTCTACCAACCAGAAGGGTAAGGCTGGAGGTGCGACCGAAAAGGAACTCAAAGATCTCAAAGAGAAACTGCGTAAAGCGGAAGAAGCGGAGAAGGAGAAGGCGACGGAGCTTGAGGACCTCATTATGGTGCTGGCTGATCTTGAGGAGAAGAGGACGAAAGATAAGGTATGTTGTTTACACTTTGGTGAAGAGTCGATGAGAGATGGGGCTAATGATTGTAGGAACGGCTTAAGGCTCTCGGAGAGGAGGTTTCGGATGCGGAAGATGATGACGACGACGATGATGAGGATGAAGAGGATAGTGATGAGGAAGAGGATGATGATGAGGACGACGAAGAAGCGGAGAAGAAGAAGTAGACTGGTTCGATTAAACGCAAATCGATCCGTCTTCGCTATCCATCAAGAGCTTTGTTTTCGGGTCTACATCGAATGGATCTGTAGCCGCATACGAAAGATATCACCTGTGGAATGTATCTATCCTCAATGTACCACACTGTGAAGCGTCAGTCAGGTACTTTATCTTTATACTCACGATGAAGCAGGTCGCTGTGGGTGGCTTTTGGGATAAAGTTTCGGTGATGCGATTTCCTCCAGGCACATAGTTTTGACAAGATTCAGCGTTGGACAAGTCCGCTGTGGTGTTTACCTTGGTGTCATAGTCTTCTTTATTAGGTGGGGTTGGGGTTGGGGTTTGGCAGCGTTTTCGTCGTTGGTGTCCCAGGGGCTTCGACTTCCGCTTACCATCGCCTTCGCCATAGTTTGATGAGAGGTCTTGAGATCATAATCGAGTCCATCTGTCGTAATGTAAACGAAACGTGTATGAGTGGCTAGCGCTGACATCTTCAATAGAGCTTGCATCGCCCGGGTAGATGGGAAGGAGGTCTCATGCTCAACGGACCCGACTGCTATATCTTGGTGAGTTGAGGTTTGTTTCTTAGGATGAGCGTTGGGTGTAACTAAAGTCCTGTCCAGCACTGATATTGCCCATGAAGATTGGGCCGCCTCCGGATAAGATGGCACCAGTCCGACTGCTCCCAATTTCCTGTACCCCTTCCTCCCTCCGCGCCGGTTGCCTTTCTCCCGAGCCTTCCAACTCAGATACTGCCATGCCATTGGGTACATTGGATGCGTGCTCTGATCTGTCCGACTGCGAGACAAGTGTCCGTTCATCGGAGTCAGTTTGAATTGAGGTGGCCACAGTAGTACTGAGCTCTCTTTTGCATATAGCATCAACCCACAACCACAGCTGCCCCCGTACCCTCACATACCCCGGATCTGCCTTCCCACTAAACTTTGTCATATCAGAGTGGTTTTGATGGATACTGTCATTGGGGTACTCGGGCAAGATGGCTGATTGTCGCGGCACGATATCTCCTATACCCGTGTAACTCAACTCCTCGTAGAAACAGAATATCTCGATCCATTTCCCTTCGTTGCGTCGCCGGTCTTCGAGGAGGGTGTGGAATTCTTGTTGGAGGGTTGATAGCATTTCTGAGCTAGAGATGGGTGTGGAGTTAGTGTTTGTCTCGAATGTGGGTTGGATAGGGGTGTTACTGACGCGGGTTCTAGGACTGCGACGATTTGTTTGTTGGTTTTGAGGACGAGGGAGGAGAGGCGGGTTAGAGGGGCCGCCCAGTCTGCTTTTCGAGAGCCGAGGTGGGGAGCTCCCATGAAGGCTATTGCGAAGGTGGAGGTGAGGAGTGATTTTACGTGCAGTTGGGATGTGCCGCGCGAGATTAGGAGGGCTTGTTCGACGACGAGACCGCCGAGGCTGTGGGCTATGAAGATTACTGGACGGTTGCTCTATTGCCAGTCAGTAAAGAGGGCAGTCTTAGACTTGGTATTCACGTACTGTGTTCGTTTCTGCTCTTCGCAAGGAGAGGTCTTGCGCGAGAGATTTGCCGTGGTCGCGTACGGTGTTTCCGCCGGCGATGGTGAGTAGCTTGACCACATCTGCGTCATAGCCAAACGTGAAGATGCGCACGTGTTTGAGGTCATTCGCGAGCAGGTCTTTGGGCCAAAAGATGGAGTTTTTGTACGTCCATGTGGTTTCGCGGTTTCCAGTGAGGCCATGAACGAATACGATACTGTGGCATGTGTTAGGTGTAATGTGGTGGTGAGGCTGGGCGCCTACTCTACGGTATCAGTCGCTCCTTCCGCTACCGTTTTGAGTCCGTATGCGCCTGCCGTCGAGAACAACTCCTCTGGTGGCTCCTCGGTTTGCTTGTCGCTCGCTGGCCCTTTTTTCTTCTTCCCGCTCGTCTTCAAACGGCGAAATAAACCCATTTCTGGTACCTCCACAGCTTTCGAAGCTATGCGCAACAGGCTCCGAAGGATGAGTCAAGCAAACCGATGGCGGGCCAGCATCTGCATTGCCTCAGCCGCAGCTGCAGGTGAGCTGACCAAGCCAGCTGCAAGGTGTGCGATACGCAGTCAGCCTGACCCCACCTTGTGAGAACACCCAGAAGAACACCTCCATCCCAAATGTTGCCAAAACCGATTCATGGATTGCATGTCGCCGCCAGCCTCTAAATAATTTTCCGGATGGTTGCAAGACCGCAGCCAAGCTCTTTGCGCACGAATGGGCCCGCCGGACCGAACCGTGGATAGCGGGGGTGGCGCCATCTTCCAAGGCGACATTACAGCAGGCAGGGACATCACCATCAACCAGATCACCGAGATACGACAGGTCGCTGAACATTTGAGCAGTCGTTGCAACGAAACAAACAACTCTCATAAACTTCTCGGTAGCCTAGAGGCTTTGAGTGTATTTGCGAAATACACTGAAGACTATGCGAATACACTCGACACCAGCGTGTTTTCCAGCGACCTACACTTTGGAAGAGTTTCAGAAGAATGCGGTTCAATACTAAGAGAGCTCAAACTACTAGTAGAGTCCCTAGAGCAAGGTGAACTTGGAGGATACGAGCTTTCTCCATCCTTCGGCGAAAATGTTCTGGATTTGCGGTCGAGGCTCACAAGTCTGCAGTCACATCTCAACGTCGTCAGCAACCGCAAGACCCAAAAAGACTACGAGACCATCAAGGAGACTCTCGCTCAGCTGGTGAATAGCCTTCAAAATACAGAAAAGGCTTTTTCCATTCACAGCTTTGTTACGGCGCCATCCATTCGCAGCTTCCCCGCAGCTCCATCCATTCGTAGCTTTGTCACAGCTCCATCAATTCGCAGCTTTGATACGGCTCCAGAGAATCCGTATGTTGAGCGACAGGTCTGGCTAGAGATAGAAAGATCTCTGCGAGCAGTAGGCTTTACTACAGAGTTTGTCGGTAAAAATCGTGACCTCATTGTGGCTTCATTAGAGGATGTATTCTTGGAAAACACTCCCGATTGGATCGTAGAAGAAGCCAAACCCGAATTTTTGCCTTTGCGTTTGTCTGAAGCCTACAACATCGCCATCACTGAGAACGAGAGGGGCAAGGAAACAAACGATGGCGCATTGCTGCGTTCAGCATTCAATAAGAAACTTTTCACCGAGACCGATGGAGACGGAGAACTCAACGATGTCGCATCGATCCGTTCATTCTTCAGCAGCGAGGAACCTTCCATTAAGACCAATGAAGACGAGGAATCCACCGATGGCGCATCTTTCCATTCATTGTACAACGAAGAACCTCCCACTAAGACTGAGAGAGAGAAGGAGTTCAACTATGACAGACCGTTGAGCCTGGTGAAAAACGATACACCTTCTCAAGCAGACAAATCGGGAATTACATGGTCCAGATTGGTGGAAGGTGGATCTGGAGAATGCCTACTCACTCTCGGTTTGTACTTGCGCTAGTGATTGCAGAGTGATTGCTAACTCGAGGGTCAGATGGTGGTGGAGTTAGGTCGTGGTCAAGTCTTTTGATCATCGAGGAACTCATGAAAGAGGTTATCGCTTGTGAGAACCGATTTGAGCGGCAGTTTACACAATACCCCAGAAGCTTCGAAGCTTCCGAATTCCGTCCATGCCATTATTTTCATAAGATGTATGGCACGTCGACAGGAGGGTGAGCATGCTAGCCGTCGTCGAGAACAAACTCATGCTAATACATTATGTTAGGATACTAGCCATCGCGCTGAGTCGACTTCGCATGAACGTGGGACAAACCATCGTCGCTTTTGAGTCCATCCTCAATGCGATGTATGCAAATTCACGAAACGTAGTCCCACTTGCTACAAAGTACAGCCATTCGGATCTCACGGCTGCGCTTGCATCGATGACCCGACAGCACTGCAAACAGCACGAACGCGGTCTTTGCAATCAAGACCATGATTTTTGGTGGGGCACGACAGGTTTGGAAGATCTCGTAAGTGAAGAGGAACTCGATGACCCGGATGATTCGGACGATTCGGACGATTCGGACGACGCGAACAGTTGGACGACACGACGAGATCCTATGGAGTCCAAGCTTCGTGCTTTCGAGCTACAGAGTCCAGAATATCAGCTTTGCCAAACGTAGGTGATCAAGTGTGTTAGAATCATATAGGAAGAACTGTTGTTGATGATGCTTAGGATATGCGTAACTGCCATCTCCACGCGGCGATGGGACGAGACACATCTCTTGCGCACTTACAATCATCAATACGACCCTAGTATTGCCCCACCATGGGTCACGACCTACAACGAAGGTACTTCAGACATGTCTACGTGGCAGGTTGGGCGAGCGACTACCGCCACACCCTTCTTTTTCAAGCCACTGGAAGTAAAGGGCCCCCGAGGTAGCTCCACTTTCAAAGATGGTGGCATACGAGAGAATAACCCCAGCTACTGCGCTTATTCTGAAGCTGCCTCGATTTGGGGTGATGAGAACGAACCTGCCATCTTATTGTCCATAGGTACTGGCCAAACCAGGTCCATTTCCGACGGCGCATCCCTCGCTGGGATAATACCATTCGGTCTGTCCACCTTTAGCAAATACGCGGAGAAAGCAGCTGTGGTCAAGAATAGTCTCATCAAATACATGGAAAGCGAAGACCGGCACAAGATGATGCGTACCATCGCCAAAGGTGAACATAGATGGTACAAGCGATTCGAAGTCACGGACGGCTTGGAGAAGCTTCCACCTGATCAATGGGAGCTCGGGATATTTTCCTTACTAAACGATCGCAAACTTGCAGCTCGCCCAGGCGGGAGGACTTTGAGCAAAATACGCACAGCTACCAATGTGTACCTAAATCGCCAAGAGATTGATAAGAGTCTTCGTCTCGGCGAGTACGCTGCTCCACATCAGAAGCTGAAGCAGACCGCGGAGAAGTTAGTCCGCATGCGGAGAGCGCGAGAGCTCGAGGCCATGACCCAGGGCGGGGAAAAGCGCGAGCATTGGGAGGCGTTCATGGGCAAGCACCTTATTGGTGAGCGGGATTTCTTCCGAAAGTACCAAGAGGAGTGGGACTACGCCCTGCTAGGTCGTAAGAATTAGATCAGACATGCGTAGATCAGGCGGGACGTGTATGTACAGGGATCTAGCTTTCGGAATGGTAGACCTAGCGCTTCCGCGAACACTGACTAGTTACGCCCCATCCAAACCTCGCCAGAAGCGAACTTGCGATCACATGTCCTCGTATCGAGAATGGTTGTCAGCAATTAGTGGACGTTGTGGTATGCGATGTGGCGTTCCAATGCACATGCTCACGACTATGATGGGATTGTAGCGGATACTACCTGCTATATACTGTGAGCAAATGTGTTTGGGAAATACACTTGCATTGCGACTATCTACGGTGGTACTCAGCCGCGCCGTGCCTGCGTTATAGAACCAGCACATTCAACAAGAACCAGTAGTGGATACTACATATGCATTAGGTATTAGTGATTTGCGTACATGGAGAGAAACCATGAACATGGTAGACTAAATACCTACAGCAGAATCACAATCCGAACCCTCCCACTCCTCACAATCGTCCAAAAACTCCTCCAACACCTTCTCAAACCCTGCCGCATCTTCCCAAAATGGCGCATGCCCGAGCCCAGATAAGCCCAAGCACTCACCCCTCCAGAGCCTTTTCCACTTCACCTCCTCGTCGATATAATCCAGGTTGACAAACTGATCTTCCATTCCGTTCACGACCGCGATCAACACATCAGTCGCCTCCACCACACGCTTCTGATCGCAACCCTTGGGCGGGCTATCCTTCGTCCCAGTCGCGGCATCAGCTATGAAGACTGTCGCGCGCCCATCCGTCCGCTTCGCATCCTCCAACATCCACCTCTCATAGAACTCTTCCTTGCCCGCTGCCACACCGTGTCTCAGGTAAAGGTCAGCCTCCAAATTGACCCAATTCCTGTTCCCCGCGAATGTAAGACCACCAGCCGGCATCTTGAACGCTTGAGCCATCTGCTCGGCGCCACGCGAGGGCGGGGTACCGATAAGCATAAGCCCTTTGACGCTGATCCGAGGAGCATCTTCCACCATGGGAGGATCGTCATGAGCGAGACAGGGAAGCATTTCGATCGCGATGTGACCACCCAGACTCCAGCCCATGAGCACCACAGACTCGATTCTGAGGTGCTGCAAGACACGTATAACGAGGTCGGCGTAGCCACGATGACAGTACGTTGTTTTCACATCAGGGGCATTGGACGAGCAGCCGTGGCCGGGGAGGTCCAGAGTAACGATGCGCCAGCTCTTGTTGATCGTGGGCGACTCGATAATATGGCGGAACTGTTTGGAGGATGAGGCGTTGCCGTGTAGGAGAAGGAGGGCGGGCTGGTCGTTCTTTAGATTTGAGTCGTAGATGGTGATAAGACCGTGTGAAGTTCTCATTAGGAACGAAGGCATGGTTGGAATCAAAGATCTGTCCTGGTGAAAGACTTTGAAGTGGAATAGCTGTGATAATGACAAGGATGGTGTTGCTCTGTTTTTTGGTATGTGTCTCGTGGAGTAGACGTGCTACTAGAAGTTGTTCTGAAGAGACATACGAATGTGGTCATCCTGACATACAGACACGAACTAATACTCTTATATATATCTCACCTGAATACTTATCGAGGCTGCTCGAGGAGACAAAGCGGCAAAGGCATTCCTCTATCTCTTCGGTATTCGGCTCCGTATCGAACCGGAATGCGCGCCGCCATGTCGTCGTTCTAGTTCGTACCAATAACAAGCGAAATCGAGCCCAAGACTTGAGTGCCGGACATCCTAAGGGTATCGTGGAAACGTATTCTTGACGTTGGAAGCCACGACTGTGGCAGCGCAAACGTGCAGGAGCGGGAAATTGGGGGGTGATCGGCGATTTTAGCGTCCGATCCTGTCAGATTACAAAACAAGCCCTACTAATGCACGTTCCGACAGTGGGGTAGCGTGTCCTGTAACCCAATTGGTACCCAATGGTATCCTCAGTCAAGGTAGGGCGGTGATCGCGATCCTGTAGTGGAAGGCTGAGACGCATGGGATTGAGACTTCTGCATGCGTACGTGCATTAGTACTGTTGGAGTTTCTTGGGAAAGATCTAGGCATACAGCTACAACGCCTTCGTCAACCCCTCACGCTCGACGATCTGACTATCATCCTTTGGGAAGCCTGGCGCGTGACTTACTGAGCTCTCCAGCCTACTGTACAGTACACGTTGGTATATGTACAGGAGTCCGGCATTCCCCAGTATGAAGGGTGGCGGCTGTCCTCCAGCACCCCTCGAATCGCTAATCCTGCATCGTCAAACTTCCAATAGTCTTGCGCTGTAAGATGGTGGTAAATCCCTCGTGCGGCTTCGAAATCCGCGCGCTACCGATAGCGAGGACGGGACGCCTGGAGCCTCGTATCGTCCCATCGCCCCATATCTTCCAAGTCTTGTCATTCGCGTGCAAAGTGACTTCCGGAGCTACGGCAGGCGTATGGGAAGGATACCTTGCATCACGATGAGGCTGCGGGAGCCGCCCGTGAGTGAAACGTCCTGCCAAGAGCTGTTGAGCCCTTCGGAGACAGTATGCCGGCCCTCGATACGAGCAGTCAAGGCTGAGTTTGCGACTACATGGAACCCCTTCTCGGGAACGGGTTGGTGAAGTCTGTGTTTCCAATCTACAGCGGCATCTCCAATCTAAAGCGGCATCTCCGTTCTACAGCGGCATCTAGACAGTAGCGTCAGTATGCAGTTTGGTACGTTGGGTCGCGAGTGAAGTTCGGCGGAGTATTCTCCGTGACTCCGCTACTCCGTCGATTCGCGGACCCAAGCCTCACTTACGTGTGATTGTGTCAAAGCTGGGATATGATGGTTTGTAGTCGGAGGTGGCGGCAAGTACTTCGTCTCCGTTTTGAGGTGACTCTTTTTCAGGGTTTGCTTCGAAGACTAAGCTAGCGAAGTAGAACGGATGAGGTTGCTACTATGTGACCTTTGTGTTAACATTGCCTGGCAAGCTGACACCGGTCTTGAGCTCTTCCATCTTTGCAAGTGGAACTTGCTATACCGGACGTTGTCTACAAGGCGAATTTGCTCAAGCGCTTGTAGCTAGATAGGCGTATCAATGTCGACGTAAGCCTGCTGCTCGAGGACTTGATGACGTGCTGTAAAGTGGACTGATTCTGATGTAATTACGCTACACCGAGCCTCAATGCTTTGTCCTGTCATCAGCTTTTGCCCAGGTCCCAACGAAAAGAACAGAGAGCGAGCGCAGAGTGCGCTGTACAGAATACTGTTGAGATCGGGCTCTCTATCACTGCCAGATATCTGGAATAGAACGGCCTCCCTTACATCCATGTCCATCCAGCACCAGGACTTCCTTCTGCATGGCGCTATAAGTGACATCAAGTGTCCCGACAGCGTATTGCGGATATTTTTGCTCCAATGGTAGCAGGCCAGCATCGGCAGACACCAGAGGTGGCTCTCAAACGGCATGATTGATCGGGGTCCATACGGACTGATGTCTCCGAAACTCATAGTCGAATCGATCATTACAGTGGCCCTTTCTACCTTTCTGATATATTCTTCTCACTTCTTGCTTGTGAAGCTGAGCCTCTCTCTGTACTCAGAAAGACGCTCCATTACATGAGTGCCGTTCCACATCTCTTCACCATCGCTCACCTCACAAGAAGGCAAACCGATCTGCTCGATAGCAAAACTTGCAGCCACGTTGCCATACATAGATGCTTCAGTGATATCTCCTGATGCTTTCAAGCCTGCAATAAACCCGCCTAGATATGTGTTGCCACCTCCAGTAGGATCGACAACCTTGACCGCCGATGATTCGTAGTATGGCGGAAGCCATACATTCTTAGCTGCATGTTGAGTGGTCAGTGACCCATGCTCACCTGCTCTCACGATAACGATCCCGTTTCCGCTCGGTCCGATTGCCTTGCTGAACTCTAGTGCGTATGTTTCCAGTCGACCAGGCTGAAAGCCTTCGCAGGGTGAATCCTCGAACATGGTAGACATTTCTAAGTGATTGGGCGAGAACACATCCACAAGTCTGCAGGCTTTCAGGAATGAAGGTCGGTTCTGGGTGGTGCAAGCTGCTGGAAATGGTTCCCACACTATGAATGGCCGGCTTTTGAACCCGTGTTGCATGCGAAGCTTCATCAATTCTGGTATCTGTGTTTCGACAATCTCGGGCGGTGCAAGTAGATGGAATGCTTCCGAGCCAAGTAGATTCGTATTTAGCAGATCGATTGGTGATGGCTTCAACGGCTCCGTAGTATAGCGGAACTTCTTCGCTGGGCGATCGTAAGTTCCAAAAACCTATCACTAGAACAAGGCAGTCACATACGTCCAAATGTGTCGTCTTCGTACTCAAGAAGCCCTCTGGTGCTCAGTCTGTCCTGCGAGACATTTACGTGCAGAGTGGTCCGCCAGGCCTGTAGCTGCTCTCGCACAGCATCGGGAAAGTCGTAGCCCACAAGAGCCAGACAGCCCACCGTCTTCGATCGCGCAGGGGTCTTGAACAGGCGGCTCCCAAGCGTTGCTGTTTATCGTAAGTCTATCAGCGTTCTGGAAGCGCCACATGTGTAAGATACATACCGTAGGCTCCCGAGCCCCCCGCTACGTCAATCAAAGGCGATCGTGTTGGTAAGTGGATCTCATCAATAACCACCATACCAAGCGACACAGTACCGACAGTCGAATCGACTTCTACATTTGAGGACCAGGTATCCATTTTGCGCAGTAGGGATAGTCAGTGCTATTCGAGAAAGGAAGGAGTGGACTACGGAAGTGGTGACATCCGCGCCAACATGACGCATGGAATGGACTGCGTTCGCGAAATGTGGAGTCATTCAAGGGCGCGCCCCGGGGGGTTGACTGCATGCTGACCTATGAAGCCCTAGTGCGCCAATCTCGGCTAGTACACACACAAGCAACCTGATATCTCCATGCCGAATGGCTCAGTATTTTGGGCAAGTCGCAGGGTATTCATGAGGTTGCAGACAAGAATCTGCGCGTGATGTCCGTTCTCGGGGGTTCCGGTTCCGCGAGCTTACTCCATGCGGCCAAATCAGCCACATTCTTGTGTGCGCACTTGAGCGTAGGAGACGTTCTGTAGGCAGACGCCACTCAGCCTGACAGCCCCTACACGAGTATTATCGATGCAGAAATTCGCAATGGTTGCGTTAGACCGAAAGGAACCAAAGTGGGTAAGAGTGCTCCAGATGGTGAAATGACCTCGGGAGACTTTCTTCTTGGGTGATGCTTTCGTAGGCACTAGACCACAATAAAACGAGGCTCGCACACTTACCACCAGTAATCTCGCAAAAACTGGACCAAGCAGTATCTTGAACGGGATGTTTGTTCTATCAACCTTCTTTTAGCCTTTGACTGTTCTGGGTCTGTTGAAGCAGCGCCTCTCGCAACGCAGCAGAGCCGATGGCGATACCGATAACATCAAACGGCGTAGCGAGACTTCCAAGGGCTACTTAGCAGTGACACTAAGCAGTTGCCTTGCTTCCGAAAAATCGTACGATGATCGCAAACGAGTTGGCAATCGTTATTGATGTGTGCACTCGTGCGTAGTGAGCAGGTGGCTGCTCTCGCCATAAGAGCGTGCTACGCTGGCCTAGAGGAGCTGGGGCAAGTATTCCGTCCACGCGGGCAGACTGATGCGAGTATATAGAAGCGTGGCGCGAAGAGTCTAGTATGCTATCAAAGAGGGTACTCTAATGTTGTTGATGTGGATGGTGAAACAGGAACAGCCACACGGATCGGTGTGGCTGGGATTGTGGGAAAAGGAAAGGGTGATGACGTCATTGATCATCATCTTACAGCGCTGGTGATGCCGACCGCCCGGGTAGTTCTCTCCGTTGCGCTTCAACAAATACATCCTCACGCCATCTCGTTGCATTTTATGGAAATCTTTGAGGACCGTTCTCTCTCGCCATGTTGCCCACTTGGTAGACGCAGATACTCCCAGGGTCCACGAGCCGCTAACGGTGCTTCATTGCATATGCTTGCTGGAAAGCTATTCGTTTTGCCGAGAAAGGGAGAAAGAGATATTCAAATCAAGCATGCGAAGAGAAGCTGCTCAGCTAAGATGGTCGATACTTAGGTCTTGGTACTGGAGATAGCATTAGCACTGCGTCAAGATATGCAGTGCTTCCGACGTTGCGCTGCGGCCGTTAAGGCCTTGTCTTCGACCACTATTGACCTTTCATAATGCCTTAAAATAGGCTACACAGTCTCATCGGTCGACAGGTCCACTTCTTGCGTTACTTCTCTTTACCATTGCTTCCATCTGCTTCTACCGCTTTCAACTGCGATCCATTCGAGCGTCTTTGTCGCGTCTGTTATGTTGACTTCCTAATCGGTCGATCGCCGCACGCTCACCGCCTTGGCGCGGTGAATGGTGAAGATGAGGAGCGACGCGCTTTGACAGGGATCTCAAAGACGCCAATATAGAAATTTCCAGCCCCAGAGGCTTCTCTCTCATCTTCTCAACACCATGGCGAGCCCCGAGAAGGTCGCTGAGCTGGCGGCGCGACTGCGTAGCCTCGCTGATAGCATATCGACCCACGAAGATCCTCACGAAAGATCCAAGACGTCGCTCCAAGAGGCTGCGGTGGAGTTGGAGCAGACTGTCACCAAGTTCCACTCACGCGGCGATGCTCACGTACTGGTGCTGATTGATGCGCATAGTCATCCGGTAAGCTGTTCCCTTGTACCCATTATCCAGAGCCTAAGTCAGATGGATACACGACGATCTACGTTGCAAGATAAAGAAGCAGATGGCAATGTAGCCGTCTAGGACGTGTTTGAGTGTTGGAGTACATCTCAACATGACGAGCACTTTTACATCATCAACTGCTAACTCTACACTCAGTTCTGTAACGATGTCTACCACGAGTCCTCCGAGCACGTCTACTCCGAGTTCGAAAGAGTCAAGCCATTTAACATCAAGAGTCGTCTTCAGAAAGCAATTAAGAATTACTTGATCGGTATATCCGCGGTTGCAGCACTCGGGTCGTCTCGACTGATTGTGCGCCTATATGCCAACTCGTCCAAGTTAGAGAATGATCTACTTCGCCCGCTTCAGCAATTTGCTGTTCAATTCTCCTCGATTGACGCCGACTTCGACTTCATCGGCGTTCAAGATGAAGCTACGGTAGAACTCAAAGTCTCTAGTGAGTAACACTTGATCATCTCGGACTATCTTCCCTAACCATATTAGATGCCTTCGAAACAGCTCGGTACGATCCAAATTGCAAGCACATCTTCCTCGCTGCTTGGAGACGACCCGTATACCTCGCGATGTTGCGCACATCTTCCAAAAAGGTCACGCTAGTCCAGGGCGACGGGATGGGCGCGGGGGCCAAGTTCGTTCCTCTGCCGTGCGATTTTATCAGCATCCCGAATATCTTCGATAAGCCCGCAGGAAAAGACCCGTTCTCTTCGCTCACATCGCACTCTATGCGCAAGCGCTTCGTAGAGAAACTGCTCAGCGTTGACGCTTCTTGCAAAAACGAGTCACACGATCTCTCCTACGTCGACACTCACTATGATTGCGACGTTGAACCTACTACGCCGAACGATACTACGGATGCGCATCGTCAAGAACTTCGACTTCCGTATCTTCGAGACGCAAAACGTGGCCATGTACCCGTCAACGAAGCTGGGCATCGTCTAGACTACCATATGGGGCTTCCTTCTCCCGCCGATAGACAAGCATACGCAGAGAAATTCGGAAGTGGCGCCGCCCCGCCTTGCAGATTGTTCCACCTCGGGAAAGGAAAATGCCGCTTTGGTAGCGACTGTTCTTTTGATCACTCTGAAATTAGTAGCCAGATCTACAAGGTGGTTAGATATATGACAAAGAGGAACCCTTGCGCGATGGGCGGTGATTGCCATCGTGCAGACTGCGTATATGGACATGTCTGTCAGGATTCGAAGTGTCTCATTGACGAACTCGACTCCTGCAGCATGAGGAAGTTTCATGGGGTGAGTTTCGCGCCCGTGATGTGGGTAGCTGGCGATTTTGCTCCACGAATTCCCGCCGGTGGTGGAAAAGGGTTCCTAGCTGAGGAAGGAGAAGGTGCGATTGTGGAGTCTTCCTGGTACTGAGAAGGTATGATACCTATGACAGCATGTGATAGGTACGGAGCTTTGGACCGAGTCTGGCCCTGGCGCAAGTTGACCATCGTCTACTATGTAGCCTACAATGTCTTTGAATGAACACGTTCAGACAATACGAATGCGATGTAGATGTCCTGCCTATCTGTCGTACTCGCAGCCGACAATTCGTAATCTCGCAACGCGCTTTATGAAACATACGATCATCTCGCCGACAAGCGACTACAAGTTCCCAGTTCCGCTCCCAGATTTACCTTTGTTGGGTCTCCAGTAAGCTTCGACACACTAACTTAGAGGTAGACCCTAATCCTTCACGCAGATTGCTGCCTAAGGGCCATACACTCCTCAATTTTTTGCGCCTGCGTATATAAAACCTCTGTCCATCACACTCCTTCCCGAACTATGACCAGTCGCTTTGTACTCAACCCCTATACCCAGCGGCAAAATGTCACAACACTCGAGTCGTCAGGAAGCTTCTAATGTGGTCGAAGAAGCAGTAAGTTCGTATCATACAAGGTTATTGTGTGGCAACACTGACAATCCAAGGACTTGATCTCTGCCACGATCAACGAGTACATTGCCGAGAAGCGCCGCGGATGCGCCACATTCCACGCGAAAACGGTCGGGCTCAAGGTGTCTCCGCGAAAGATCCAACAAGTTTCTTCCGGCTACTATAGCTTCGTTGGTACAAGCCCAGGAACCCCTCGCGTCAAGATACGCTATGATCTATCGTTGTCGAACAAGTCAGACATAGCAGACATATCTCCTCTAGCATGTGTCCAGGTCCGCGGGCGCCGTAACTGGCGTCCTCTACGTGATTGGGTTGAGGTTCGGTGCAAATGTAAGGGCTTTAGCAACGAGACCGGGCTTGTACGTGCGACGTGAACGTTACTCGAATACCAGGCTGACACGACTCTCAGCTCGTTGACTACCGTATGTTACAGGACCGTCTCCTCGAGTTGCGCAAGATCGACTTCGATGTATGGAGGAAGACCTCGATCGCCGACATGTCCTTGGAGTCGCTTCAAGACGGAACCTTCTTCGCGCGCCATACATCTGGGGAACTTGGCAAGACAAATGCATTACAGATACGCCGACGACCCTCATTGGTTCTTACATGCGGTCCAGTAGCAACCTTATTGAGCGACGTAGAGATTGGGCTCTCATATCAATGGGTTTCATTCGGAAACTGGCTCACGGCAAAGCTCGCGACACTACCTCCACGTGCTGTTGACAACAGCCAACAGTGCTGGTGGCAGGCGAATGGCCGCGCTTTTAGGTTGTTGGACTTGCCTTTCGAACTTCGCTCGATGATATACAGACAGCTTCTTGGGCTTTACATATGGCCTCACAAAAAGCTAGGATACCATGAACACCCGTTAAGAAGTCCGTTGAGAATCTTCGGCCAGGCAACGTATACAGCGTACACTAACCGCTGTATGGCATTCGCACGGACTTCTCAGTACTCTCTCGATCCCATCGGAAATGAACGACCTTGGGCGTCGATCAACACCAACATACAGTACATCTGTAAGCAGGTAAGAGCTGAGTTCCGCAAGTTTACCGTGACATCGACTGTGCCGCATTTTCGGGATCCCTGGACGCTCATAGAGGTGTTGCCTAGTTTGCAAGGCAAATGGCTCCGTCACATCTCTCTCGGTTTTCCAAACTCCATTTACTTCAGGTTTCTGGGCTATGATGACCAACGCCAAGTGGAGTGGCCAGGTCAAGCTTTGATTCGAGTCTTTGGGAGGATCCCGACGCTAGCTCGCCTCCATTTGCATTTCCAGGTTTCTCTCCCCCGATGGATAGAGAGGGTAGGTAACGAAGATCAATTTTTCTCCCACGACCCTTGGGTTCGGTCGTTGCCGAGCCATCCTACTGACCTGATCTCCTGTCAGAAGACACTACTGGATTGGTTCTTCACACTGGCGCTGGAGGACCTTCGACAGATACCATCCGTAACTATGTCCGGACATGTGAAACTCAGCACACGTACTAAGTGGGAGGCAATTCTGCATGATGAGCGCAATGGTACGCTTCACGACCTTTCCGCTGAAAGGCTGACAATCATGTCAGATTACTTGCGGCGACCTTTGTAAGTCTTGTTTCCCTCAAGATTGAGACTGTTGTTGCCGATGTGTGTTCTGACCATCTCTTGCAGTCCTCCCGTGTGCTTCTGCAAGCGCCCGTGCCACTGGTGGAAGGAATTCGGTCCGCCTGCCTACGGCGAGATAGCTAACTTCGAGTTCCCATGGCCTACAGGCCGCATGAATTACGACCCCAAAGTACACGATCGGTTCATATGCGAAGATTGAGGCACAGAACACTTAGAAGGATAGGCGGGAGAAGGACTGGGATACCTGGAGACAAACATGCTCTTTACGACCCGCGCCGCTGAAGCCTGAGGCGTAGTGAGGTTGCGCGATAGGCTAGACACAACGAAGATATTATCAGTAGAACAGCAGGAGCTCCCTGTCGTGATGTTGGACCGTCGATGCTGGTGTCGTAAGCTCGGCGTTCTAGTCTTCTCGTGGCGGCTTCCCCTTATTTTCCCCGCATCGCACTAGTGACGTAGCGCGAAGTAGCGTGGCTCGGCAGTTACACAAGTCGTCAAACCTCACTCACGATCACCAAACCATCACTCTTTCGATCAAATTCCCGTGCGGCCAGCTTAACCCTCGCGTGAACTTGCGCAGCGTGGCTGAGCGTGCTGCAAAGACATTTGCCGCCCACTTCATCCGCTGCCGCTCGATCCCGGAATCTGGGTCGAGATTCCAGCGCTGCGAACATGGGTATGTGTCGACGTACCGGGGCTAAACAGAGGCTAATACGTGCTCAAGGCTCATGACTGGACAGCGCGCGCTGATATATGCCGTAGATGATGTGCTATGAACGATGAGACGACACGCAGGTCCTTCACGTGTGGAAGATGCGGAGAACCTGGCTGTTGGAAATCAGGCTGGGCGATAAGTAGCCAGACGCTCAGCGGAGGATCGGCCGGCCGTTGTCTACACATTTTGATAACCTTTTGTCCTGGATTCTGCTCCGACTACAATTGCCGGATCACGAGAGGTGCTCACGGTGCTATCCTGCCGACATCTTCACGCGCTATATGGCAAGCCACGTCTGACTTGCACTCCGGCTGGTTTTCGAAGTCGAATCGCAATAGCACCGACATTCCAGATTGAGTCAGAATAGGCCCGCGAGGTGCGCCTTTTCGCACAGCAAGCGATACAAGTACCTCGCTGCATCCTTGGTCTGAGCACAATCATCGTCTCTCGCACATCAGTTGCTTTGATCACGATGGAGGCACACGACTATAACGAAGATGTAAGTGGTCAAGACGATTGATGCCGCCCAGTGCTAAGAGATGCAGGAACGCCGGCAGCTCGAAGCCGAGCTCCACACAGAGATCCTTCCCGGCACGGAGGTCATGGCAGATGTAGGCTCACACCATTTCGTCAAAGGAGCGCACCGCCAAGTCCTCGTTCCACAACCCAGCGATGATCCCAACGATCCTCTCAATTGGAGTACCGGTTGGAAGATGGCATGCATCATCTCAGCATCAATGGCCACGTTCACGCAAGGATTTGGTCCATTGGCTCTAGCACCAATGTTTCCGGCACTGATAGAAGCTTTCAATACCGATCTGGCGGGTGCAGTCCAATTCACTGGTGTTTGCATCTTGGTACTGGGATTTAGCAATTTTATCTGGTGAGTGGCGTCAGACTATGATACAGGCGCCGTAACTAATGGGTAATGCTAGGGTCCCAATTAGCACATCGTTCGGTCGTCGCCCGGTGTATCTCGCATCCCAACTCATCAACTTCGGTACCTCGATATGGCGCGCCAAGGCCAACTCCTACAACTCGTTCATGGGCGCCTGCATCCTCAATGGAATTGGTGCTGGGCCGGCTGAGACTATCATGCCCGAGATCATCGCCGACATCTTCTTCTTGCATGACCGTGGAAAGTGGAACACTCTTTACTGGGTAGTCTACATGGGCTCGCTGATGGTCGGTCCCATCGTCTCTGGATCAATGACCGAGACGGTCGGCTGGCGCAGCTTCTGGTGGCTCAATACTGGCATCCTCGGCCTCTCATTCTTGATGGTGGTCTTTATGTTCCCCGAAACAAGGTTCAAGCGCGCGTTGCCCGAGCACTTGGGACAGAAGAAACCCAGTTCCCTAGAAGAGAAGACACGTGCGACTACCCAGGAAGACATCAACCACTCCGACAGCGAGAAAGAGACAAATCCAATCCAGCACATCAACACAGCTAACTCCGTCCTGCCAAACACGGCCGGCCTAGAGATGTCCGAGACAGCTCAAAGAGACCCCTTCCTGGGCCGCGGCAAACCTGGCAAATGGCAGTGGAAGATCTTTCAACCAAACGCCCACCCGTTCCGTTCCATCTTCCTCGACCTTTGGATTCCCTGGAAACTATTCGCCTTCCCCATTGTCGAATTCGCCGCTTTCGTCGTCAGTTGGTCATGCTCCAGCTTCCTCACCATCAACCTCACACAAAGCCAAGTCCTCGCCCTACCTCCCTACA